AGCGGGAGGAAGCGCAAAGAAAACAATTGGAAATTAAAAATGAAATCCGTCAGGCACAAAGAGACCTGCTGGCATTTCTGGAGCAGCATGGCCTCCTTGATGAAACAACGACGAACAAATTACTGCCGCACATTGTGCGCCGTCCAAATGTCGTGTGGATTTTCTCAAAGGTTAGCACACCCGCGCAGGCCGCCGCTATCCTCTCGGATGTGATGAGTTGTAGTACGGAGCGTCGTCCTGTCGATACGACGCGAGGAAGCGAGGGTGTTGGTAATAGGATCGGTGATGATGACGAGGAGGAGGGTTTAACCGTGGAGGCGGTTCTCCGTTTCAATGCCCTTGTTGAGGAAAACGAGCGGCGCATTGGGGTGACGCGGTACGGCGAGCCCATCAAGAAGCATCCACCGTCTTCCACCGATGTCGTTGAGGTGGCAAAGAAGATTACCCCCAAACCGACGGCAAACTGGGACGAGGAGGATTTGGTTCGCCTGCAGAAGGCAACCGCAAAGTACCCACCGGGAGCGGTAGACCGTTGGAGAAAGATTGCCGAAATGTTGCGTGGTAAATTCACGGAGGAGGAGGCAATGAGGAAGTTGAATGAAATTACAGCCGCACTAAATCATTCAAATAACAGCGGCCAGAACACGCGTACTCCAGTGCAAAAGCAACCCCCTCTTTCAAATACATCCAAATTTCCACCGTCTGCAGGTGGAGCGGCAGTGGCATTTCCCCCGGTTCCATCCACGGAGGATTGGACGGTGAAGCAGCAAAAAATGCTGGAGCAGGGATTGCGGGAATTGAAGGAATACAAGGAAAGGGATAAGTTTCAGAAGATTGCGGCGATGGTGGACGGCAAAAATGCTAAGGAGTGTTTTGAACGATATAAATATCTATGCACTATGAACAAGCGTAAATAATCATATTCCCCACCTACGTGTAAAGGGTAATTAATGAATGAACGGTCACACAAACAGAGGAACGCCGGGTGGGTGGGTGGGTAGGTGGAACAGAAGAAAGTTTGTGTATTGTGTGGATTTGGGGCACTCCCTCAGGTTGTTTGTTCTCTTTATGAGTTTTTTGAATATAATTGTACGGGAGGGGGTGCTTCATCAAAGGGATGGTTCCCTCTTTGGAATTTCTTTTTTTTTTTTTTTTTTTTTTTTGGCTGATTCTTTGGGAACGTAGCCTCCGTCTGTTACCGCGCACGCGATCATACAAATACAGATAGAACTGGTTTAGAAAAAAAAAAAAAAAAAAGTGTGTGAGAGTGAGAGAGAAAGAAAGAAAGAAACGTGGACAAAAAGCGGACAACACTTCAGACATGTCTGCATTTTCGCCTTACAATTCAGCTTCGCCGCAGCCTCAGACGAACTCTCCGGCACCATGGGGTGGTAACCCTCAGGACATAATGCTTCAGATGGGGCTGCAATATGGTCAGAGCATGCTTCAAGGAGGGGAGCAGAAGTTTATGCGGCATATGCCTGTCATATCCAACATTTACCGCTATTTTCGCGTTGATAACCAGTATGTGAAGAGAAAACTGGGGATTCTACTATTCCCTTTTACCCGGAGCTTTAGGAAGGATGAGCAGGGACCAGGCTGTGAACAGGAAGTAAGTGGAGGATCTGCCGGCTTTGGGGGAGACTCAGCGCCTTTTTCTCCCATATCAGCCACGGGTCGCACGTATCCGACGACTTCGACAGCCCTACCCACAAATAACGTTTACGCATTGGACCTGTATCTGCCCCTTATGGGTGCTGTCACATACATCATCCTTTCTGGATTTGTACATGGACTGCATCACCACCGTGTGACAAATGAAGATCTTTTGGGTTTTGCTTCAGCGCTGGTATTCTGGTTTTTAGGTGAAGTTTTTGTGTTAAAGATGGTAAGTTATATTCTTCGTATTGTGCCGGATATAAACGTTTTGGAACTGATGGCCTTGACTGGATACAAGTATCTTACGGTGTCCATCATTGTATTTTTGAGGGAGCTGTTACAATTTGAAAGCGATGCTTACTACATTGGTACCATGGCTACATACATCTTGTTTGCCAACGGTGTATTTGTCGTTAAGAATGTAATGCGCATGTATGAACGAGAAGGACGGACTCCTCCCAACGCGAGGCTACTAGCGTACAGTGCCGCGTTTCTGCAGGCGCCGCTTGTGATATGGTTAGCCGTCAAGCCATTTCGATAGGATTTTTGAATTGAGCGACCGCTTTGGTTGGATGTTTGGAATGACTCAAGCCTATTGTAGGTTCTTTTGGACCTCTTTTTCTTTTACCAGCATCATTTCTACTATTACGATTGTCTGTTGTTGTTTTTTGTTTTTTTTTTTACATGTGTGTTTGTGTGTGTGTGTGTGTGTCTTTTCTTAATTCCTCGCTCTTTATCTTTTTTTTTTTTTTTTTTTGAACACGCAGTGAGGATTTGAGAGGTCAATGGAGAGTCAAAAGCGAATGATGTGGAATCTAAAAGGGCGCAGTGCGGTGGCCGCGCTCGATCCCTCTACCCGGCACCGCATCATGCAATCCCATGCTATGGCATCCAGCTTTCACAAGCCGCTGCTAGCAACACTAGAGGTCCTTATAACTCCGCAATATGTGGGAGGTTTAACTGGACCCTTACAGAAACCTGAACCATTTATTTGTCATGTTACACGACTTCTTCAGATCACACCGGACCCCTCAATTGTCTTAGCAATGTTGCATCAGGATGTTCATAAATACTTACGTGTGGCCGCGTTATTTATTATTCGGCTTATTGGCAATGAAGCCATGATGCGGGAGGCAATGAGAGTAGGGTGGGAGGATTACAGGAAGATCCGCGTCTATGGATATGTGGAGGATTTGGCAGGCACAATTGACAGCAAAGAAAATAACGCCCCTGATGAGGAGGAAGGATTCGTGCGAGCTCCGGCCTATGGTATAATGTGTGTAGACGAGATCACGGATCGTCTATTCAATGTTGGTGAGAGTGACATAAACAAAAATGGAGGAAGTGGCAATTTATGGCTAGGTCTCCGTTTACCACCGATCCTTCTGTAGCGGGGGTGGTATTGAATCTCTGCCCCGGTGTGTGTGTCTGTGTGGTGAGGAGAGACAGAGAAGCATGTCCAGATCTGTTTGAGCCCTCGTGACATTATGCGGTGAATTCATCTTTCATGCGCTCTCTCTCTCTCCCTCTCTCTTTTTTTGCTCGCTCCTTTTGTGCTCATTTTTGGCTTGGATAATCGATTTTGTACGTCCGGCTTTTTTTTTTTTTTTATTATTATGTTTGTGTGTTTTTCCTTCTTTTTCTTTCCGCGTTTTCCTTCCGGCATTGCCCTTTTCCTTGCGTTGAGGGAAGCGGATTACAATATAGTACCAAGAGCAAGTAAAGGCAAAACGAGGGATAAATCGTGAAGTGGTGCCAGCAGAGACAGAAAAAAATTATGGCTACGAGCCGCACTTACACCGATGTGGAACAACAGCTGCGCGCCTGGCAACGGAAACAAGAAAAAAAAGTTGTGGTGAGTTGTATGGATTGGCAGAATATTGAGTCCAACCTGCCACTCCTTATCCCAATCATTGGCATAACACTCGTTACTTGTTTTGTCTTCATGCTTATCCCATTTATTGGTCGCATGAAATCGGGTAAACAAAATCCTGGATTGGCCTGTCGGTATTCCGCCAACCTTGGCAGTTCACGTGCGCTGTTGTTTGCGTCGAGGTTTAATGCACCACTCTTTTCAGCGTTCCTTACCATTTGGCTTTTACTTTGTTTAGCAAATGTGGTATTTTACCTTATGCAGGTGGCCGCTAACGATCCAACATGGGCGGAGCGGGTGTTAACCACACCTGATGGATTTCTGGAACCCATGGTGCTTCTCTACATTGTTCAATACTGGGGTATTTCTTCACTGCTTATCCATGTAATCTTCACTTCACATCACTATATGGTGGGATGTATGGCTTCATTCCTCCCCTTTCTCGTGAGTTTTTATCAGGCAACCCGTTTACAGGGGGACGAAGTGGATGATTGGCCTGTCATAGCCATCAAGATAGCGCTTTTGTTTTCTTTTTTTGCAACAGTGGCCTTCACTGTACCGTGGATGCAGAACGAATACCGCATTGCCATGCGGGAAATTGATGCCCATACCTCACGCGCATTGGGTTTACGAAGGAAAACGGAGAAGATGCCTGAAAGGAAGAAGTGATTCTATGGCCTATGAAATTTCTTTACTATTAATGTTATTATCATTATTATTATTAATTACGCCTTTTTCGGTTTCTCAAGCAATGGCTTTCACTCCTTCTTACCACAGCCACCCGGACGCATTCCCGTGTTGTTGTTTTTGCTCCTTTGCTTAGTAGTGTTTTTGTTGTTCTTCACATTCAGACGCGGAAGAGAAGACAATGTTTATTAAATACAAAAAAAAAGGGGGGAAAATGGGTCTCATGGTTGAAAATGTCCGGGCGGACGCCGGGAATAGAGTCCTCGCCACACTGACAAGCGCCGGTCGTGCGGTGTGCGCGGCTTCCTTTTCCTCCTGGAAATCCTTCCACTACGGTCGCCTGACTGCGGTGAGGTAGCGCACTTGCCACGCATTGGCGCAGTCCTGCGGGAGGGATCGTGCCATGACGGCGTCAGTGTCCGCTGTCACGTTGCGTGGGATTCCGCGGTGCCATGGGGAAAATGCGGAGCCAACTGTGCGACCTCGATCCGCCAGTAAAAGCGGCACGGTTCAAATCTCCTCGGTGACGTCGTCGTGCACCGCCAGCGGGCCAAGGCGGAGTGATTCCATCGCCGAGAGGGAGTCTGTGGCGACAGAAACTCGTGTGGGCGATTGGGATGCTGCTGCCAGGCGGGGAACTGGGAAGTGTCTTTGGCAATGCTCAGTGGCAGGACGCTCCGCTCGGCAGGTGCATGCAAGGCTGCCAGCAGCTGTGCGGTGAGGCCCCACAGGGAGCTCCGCTGCCCGGGGAGTCGAGTGGCAGCGCAGCGGATCCATATGCATGCTCAGCGAGAGACGACGAGCCGTCCGTCCAGCGGCCTGCGTCATACAGTCCCAGAGAGGCGCAGGCCGCTTCAAGGGCCTATCGTCTGGCGTCGTCGTCCTAGCTGTCTTGGGCGTGCCGTGGCTGGAAGACGCCCACCCCGTCGCAGCTCACAGTGCCCCAGACGAAAATCCACTGCTCAGCATGAGGGGCGCGGATGTGGCGCGGGAAGATCCTCATGTGGCTGCCGAAGCGTCGAAGTTCCTTGAGGACGGCATCTCCCGGCAGCAGAATACTCGTCGCTGCCTTCCCATGCGTCGGCGGCGGCGTGGTTTCCATGTGGGCTACGCCACGCACGTCCTCAATATAACGGAGACGTGTGAGCCGTTCGTGCTGTCCGGATGCGCGGAACTCAATGATCCTCCGCAGCGGTGCTGGATTGGCTTCCAGGTGGACAGAAGCATCCTTCGTTGATGCGCGTGGGCCGAGCGATGCAGTGCAGCTGTCGCCGTGCCGCACTTCCAGGCTGTGGAGGTGAGTAGGGGCCGGACACGGAGCGGTTGCCTTGCCGCCGTGGTGTAACGCACTGTGGACGCACCCGACCAGAAAGGATCGCATGGTGTGCCGGGACGCCCAGCCTCTGCGCCCAGCCGCGGCTGACGGCGGCGTGGCGCTGTCTGCTTAGCGGTCTGGTTCAAGAATGTTTCTTTCATTTTCATCGCGCTGCGTGGTGAAGGTGCGCGGGCACCGCCTCACGATGCGTCGCGGGTGTGCGGCGTCGTTTGAAAAAAAGGTTAGCGCCCCTTCTCGTGAATACGACAACGACCCCGGATGACAGCATAAGGCGATGCGGCTTCTTTTGTTTTGCGCAAAGAGTTTATTGGACGTTATTTTTGTTTTCAATCTTTTGCAGCTTTTGTGGGGGAAGGTGGGAGGTTGAGGGCATTAGGAGTGAATTCATTTGGATGGCTGCGTTTCTTTGACTTGCGGCCAGTCGTTGCACTCTTTTGTGGTTTGGCAGCCCGTCTCTTTTGTTTACTTCCCACCGCAGCACGTGGGCAAGACTGATCCGAGGAACATTTGTTTGACCACGTGTGAGCTGCTGCCGTGCGTGGTGCATGGACTATGTGATTGTGTGAGGAGGTGCATGGAGTGACGAATACTTCTGTTTGGCGTGTCGCGGTGTGTCGGAATGATGTTCGGAAGACATGTGGAGGTTGTTGTTTGTAGTTTGTGTCTTATTTGGTGAAGCCGACATGTGTGCGGGAATTGTGGCGTTTCTGGCTGGCAGTTCCACGTCACTTTTCGGCATTCCTGGATGTGCTGAGGAATGACGGCTGGCGACCAGCGTGTTGGTGCTGCTGGTGGGAATAAGTGCATCGGGAATAGGCCATTTTCTCTTTTCCGTGCTGGTGCCGATGAACTGGCACGAGGGCACCGGCTGCAGGCTGCCTGCCAGCACGTGTGAGCAGCGGATCCATGCACACACCGACGCTCATCGCAAGAGCGTGTGCGATCACAGTGGCTTTTGTGGCGTGCTTTTATGGACGTCAGCCCATCGAAGAATGTGTGAAGCAAACGGCTGACTGCACACGAGGGAAAATAAGTGCGTGCACTGTGCCGTGTTTCAGCGTCGATGGCAGAGCGACAGGAAGCCCGTGCTGGCAATCGAGATCTTTGCGTCGCGAGGGATGTCGGTGTTGATTTTGGATTGTCGAGGGTGAAATGATTTTGCTGCTGCCCGGGTGTTTGGCCACTCCGGCAGAGGGCGGACACAAAAGGGAGGGGTACAGGCGCTGCGTGTGTGTGTGTGTGCAGGTGCCATGCAACAGCGTCACAACAAACATGCTGCGACTCGGTGACCCTCACATCGTTGTGGTCCTCACGAACAGCCGAGGCACGGCCCGCATCGATGCACTTAGTGGACGGAGTGAGGCATCTTTTGAGGCGCTGCAGGGAACAGGATGTGTTGACGCAGCCACGACGTGCATGGAGTGTCACGATTGCACAGTCAGCTGTGGCTGGTGGAATATTTACTTCTCGGAGGCAAGAGAGAGAGAGAGAGAGAGCTGCTCCTGCTGCTGGCGTCGTTGCTGCCTCTTGTGGCCTCCCATGCCGATTATTATCTGTCCGCTGATCGTGGGTGGTGCGCCTCCACTAGTGACGTCGTCTGCAGGCATTTCACAGCTCCAGTGAAGCACACATCACGTCGCATGCTTTGACTGTGGATGTGGTGTCGTGAATGCAGCCGGCATTATTTTGCCCGACTCCTTTTCACTGCTTTGCGACGAATAGATGCGTCTCTGCCCGAGTCATTCACTGCAGCTCCGTGTGTTCTACTGCCAGCACAAGACTCTCTTGTTGTCTGGCGCCTGGCTGACAGTCCAACACCACTGCGTTGGGGCATGCAAGGATGTGGACTGCCGCTCACGGTGTTGGGCACCGCTGTTTGGATGCGGCGGCCACACGAGCGGATGTATTGTGGCACAATCAAGTGCGTGAAATACGCGGAACCACAGCGGCTGCAATGATATCAACGGTGTGGCACCACGGAGTATGTGAGAGGGTGATGCATGATGGATCACAGTGGGCGGCATGCGAGGGAAGTGCACCGCGACAGAGCGTCACCCCGCCCTCAGCCTGCAGGGGAATGTACACCCACAAAATATATGGACGAGACACCACCTAACACACATGCCCTTCCATGCACCAATAAATAAGAGCGAAGGTGCGTTCTGGTGTGTGGGAGCCCACTCAAATATTTTCATTTCCACCGCAATAAACGGTGAGGAATCAGGTGCAACCGCAACGAAAGGAAAAACAAAAGCATCTATTGCAACACTTTACCAGCGAAAAGCAGGAACAACACAAACAGAATTCTTGGCTGCACCAACACAAGAAAAATTCACAAGAGGAAAGAAATACTTGCGCACCCTGCAGAAATCCCCAACACACGATGCAGGCATGAAGGCTTGCCCTCTGAAAAAAAAAAAAAGCGCATGCAGGCATCTGCCAAAATTAAAATAGAAACACAAATAAACGGTTGCTTGCTTTATACCATTTCCTGTGCTTATTTTTTTTGTGTGCGGCTGCGGCTGCGGTGGTTCCCAGGCCTGCATGAAGTGATGTGCGCTGAATATGAACAAAGGCCGAAGGCAACTGAATTGTTTTTGTGATGAATATTGGCTGCGCTTCCCGTGGACCAACAATCCGCGTGGTGTGCGGGGATCATTCTTTTTTTTTATTGATGCTTTGCTTTTGTGTTGCTGTGTGCGCTGCACCTATTCTCGTGTGTGTGTGCGTACCCTCCGTGAGAGGTGCGGCACGACGGACCGCTCTCGCCGTGTGTAAATGCGGTGGAGCCTTGTGTGCCGCTCCTGTTTGCTTCTCCCTCTTCCATCTGTGTGTTGGTGTTGCGGCAGGGCTGTGTGTGTGTGTGTGCCTGTTGCCGTGGATTGGAGTGTGTGTCGTGCGTGGTGTGCGGCGTACGGTGCATGCCTGGCTGCTGCCCTCTCCTCATGTGGTGTGCCCTCTGTGTGTGTCTGCCGCACCTCTTGTCTCCCCTGTTGCTCTCCATGTCCCTCACTGTGCAGATCAGCTCCACACCACTGAACGACCACACTCACGATGATGACGTGCCGTCTGCTGTGCGCCCTGTTGGTGCTCGCCCTGTGCTGCTGCCCGTCCGTGCGCGGGACAGCAAGTGGTAAGGCTCAAGTTTCAACCCCCGGTCATTCACCCCCACCGCCACAGGAGCAAACTCGGGAGACCAAGTCTTCAGGTTCAAATACCCTTACAGTCCCGGAGGCGGATAATTCCGATAATCCCCATCAGTCAGTGGTAAAGAGTCCGGCGCAGGAAACAGGAGGGTCAAAAAGTGATAAAGAGGTTACGGTAAAGACTAAAACTACGACGACTACGAGTACGACAACTACGACCACGACGACCACCACCACAAAGGCACCAACCACGACGACTACCACAGAGGCGCCAACTACCACCACCAGTACTACGACTACAGAGGCGCCAACTACGACGACCACCCGCGCACCGTCACGTCTGCGAGAAATTGACGGCAGCCACAGCAGCTCTGCGTGGGTGTGTGCCCCGCTGCTGCTCGCCGCATCCGCGCTGGCGTACACCACTGTGGGCTGAAGAGGTGTGTGCGGGCTGTGCGTGCCAGCACTCAGCCGCGGGGACTTGTGCGCGTCCACTGTGGTCCAATGTAACTAAATAAGGGAAAATAATAATTGTGTTTTGCTTCATTTGCTTCCGCTGCCCTGCTGTGTGCTCCGCGTTGCTCCCTACATCCTTCACGTTGAAAGAATCCCGGACACACTCATATGCATGCGCACAAGTAGACAACTTTTTGCGTGGACGCATATTTGTGGGTGCATGCACACTGGAGTCATTCGTTGCAGCTCTTTTTTTTAGTGTTTTTACTTGTTTTTACTTTATTGCTGTTTTTTTACTGTTTTTTGCTTTTAATTGTTTTTTGTATTTTTTTCTTGCTGATCAATTATTGCGGGGCTGTGTGTATTTTTTTTTTTGTTTTTGCCCTTTCACTGATTCCAACTGCTTCTGGGGTGCTCCCATTTGTCACTTTGCTGTGACGTGGTTGTGTGACTTGTCTCCTCTTTTTGCTTTTACGCTGCGTTGACGGGGAGTTAGTTTGTGCTGAAGGCTAAACGCAAGTGACAGGAGTGATGGCGATGATGACTGGCCGTGTGCTGCTGGTGTGTGCCCTCTGCGTGCTGTGGTGCGGTGCGTGCGGAGGCGGTGCCGAAATGAACGATGAATCATTAGTTGGTTCACAGCATGTATCTGGTGTCAGTGAGAAAGCTCCAAATGGATTACCGCAGCCTGGCGAACGAGGGCCTGACAGCGCGGGGCATTCTTTGAACAAAAATAATGGGGACAATTCCAATCTGCAAGAGGGGACAGGCACAGGAACAACAACAGACAGAGTTGGGAAGGAAGAAGAGGAAGAAGTGGTTGGTAATGATGATCTTGAAGAAGAAGAAGAAGAAAAAGAGAGAAGTAAAGAAAGAGAAGATACGCCACAAGCCGGAAAATCTGAAAGTTTATCGAAAGAGGCGGCAGCAACAATACCGGCAGCATCTGGTCTCAGTGAAAGTGGTGGTGGCAGTCCTTCTGGTGTTGATGGTGTTGGCCCAAGTGAAAGTTCTGAAGGAAGTGAGGATTTGAATTTGGAGGTCCCTGTTCCTGTTGTGATCTCTCCGCCTTCCATTCCCAATGCTGCTGCTGGTGGTTCGCAGAATGCCGACGGTGCTTTATCGCCTCGGAAGAATAATTTCCCAGAAACAGGTGTGCATTCAGGAAAGACGCCTCTAGCACCCTCACTGCCCAAATCACAGGCATCCGCGATGCCAAAACCAAAAGCAGAAGAGCAGTCCTCCACTGAACAGGACACAGAAGATAGTCCAGACACAGAGGAGGTCACAACTGGAAAAGAGAACGTGCAGAATACTGTGGAGACGGGAATTCCTTCCAGTTCGTCGTCTACCGCCAGCAAACCACCCGTACAACAAACAACGCCAATATTAACACAATCACCGGCAGCACCATCACCAGAACGATCAGCACCAGCAACATCAGAAGAAAAATCAACAGCACCGAGTTTTTCAGCAGGAGAAGGAAGCCGTAGAGCAACAAACGTCGCACAGAACTCAAAGGAAGAAAAGAATGAAAAATTGCCGTCAGAAAACGAAACGGAGTCCAAAGCGGTGGAACAGCCTTCAGGGGATGATTTGGCAGAGCAAGACAGTCCAGTGGGAACAACAGCATCACCCATCCCCGCAAGTAGCAGTGCCGATGCCCAGAAAAATGCGGATGCGGACAATAGCAATGCTCAAGTGCTTAAATCCGAAGGAACAAACAAGAACTCCGAAACTGGTTATACAAACCTTGCTTCTACAGCCGGTGATGCAGCAACACAAACAGAAAAAGCACTCGCCGACGCCAAAGCAAATGATACGGTGACGCCTGGCGACAGTGACGGCAGCACCGCGGTCTCCCACACCACCTCCCCTCTTTTGCTTCTTCTTCTTTTTGCGTGTGCGGCTGCTGCTGCGGTGGTGGCCGCGTGAGAGTGAGGGAGAGAGAGCCGTGCACCGCCCGCACATACACTCGTCCTTCACTCACTCTCTGTGTGTGTGTGTCCCCTTGCATGGACTCTCGCCCTCACTTCACCCCACGAAGCACACAAATAATGTGCCCATTGTATATATGCATGCACACCCATGCAGGCCCGTTGGTGCTCTCTTTTGCACGACACGCACCGCTGCCGTCCTGCCTGGCTGCATGGGCGGAGCACCGTAACTGTTTCTGTTTTGTTTCCATTGCATTGAGTGGGCGACCTCTCTCTCTCTCTCTCTCTCTCTCCCCCTGTGTGTGTGTTTTGCTTTACGGGAGCAATGAGAGTGCGTGCGCTGGTCGTCCCACGCTTCGGCTTTTTGTTTCTTTCATTGTTTTGTGGTTGAGTGCACCCATTACTTTTTTTTTTTGAATTGGTGGGTTGCTTTGACTGCGGACGCCCAAATTGTCTTTTTGTATTTTTTCTTTTTCTTTGAGATATTGTCAGTGTTTCCTATTCTTTTCAAGCCATGAAGTGTCTTCCTTCACGTACAGCGTGCGTAAGTTGATCCACGTCACCCCACGGTCTGCAGTGCTGCTGGTGCTTCTGGTTGTGGTGATGTCTGCGATGTGTTGTGCCAGCGGGTGCTTTGCTGCCAGCCTGACGTATTCCTGCTCCATTGAGAAAGCGATGCGTGCCGCCAGCGCAAAGTCGATCCCGGCTGTGGTGAGGGACGTGCCTTTTGGATCTGAGGGTGCGTCGCAGACATGCACCGTCATTGGGAGGAATGGATGGGCGCCCATCCGCATCAATTTGTCGACAAGGGACCTGGATGATACCAGGAAGTATTGCAGCTCAGGGTGGTAGTACACAATGAATTCATTGGTGGCAATTGCGAGTGTGAAGGTGACGTTTTTCTATGCTGAGAAAAGGGAAGTATTTGTTTCGTTATACTTTGCGGCCACTGTTCGTTAATGGCCTGCGGGCTGTCCGTAGCGATGTGGCCAGTTTTTCTTTCTTAAACGGTGCTGTCGTGCGAGAGGTGGTGTTCCCAAATAGTCGGATGCTCAGTTGTCGAGGGCGGGGCATTCCCACAGCATGTGCGGCAGGGCCTCCCGTGGATTGTCGGGGGCTCAGCGGCTGGTCGGGGTTGCAGCAGAGGAGTGGTTGAAGGGCTACGGCTGTCATTGGAGCTTGCAGAGGTGCGCTGTCCGTTTTTTGCTCGTTGATACGCTTGACATTTTCGGTAGTGACCTGCGCGTGAGGCACTTGTTGGGAAGACCGTGGAGGTGTCGCAGGATCCACATGTGAGGCCTTCTCCAACGATTGGAGTGCCAGGGTTAGTGCGTCGGGCGTGTGCCTTCATATTGTGGACGGACGAGAAGACGCTGCTGCAGCTTGGGCAGGACGACGTTGATCTGCTGCTCGTCATTCTACGAGGAGGTGCCGTCGACACGCCAGGTGGAGGTTCCGGAGGAGGTCGGGGTGGTCCTGCCTCTTCAGTGTGAGGAAGGGACGGCACCACCGACATAAAGGGTTGCTTTTGATCTGCAGGGCGCGTGCCGGTATTTCGAAGAGTGGGCAGGAGTCGCATTGCACCTGCGCACGAAGTCCTGATTCGATGCCCGATTTCTGCCTGGACACCAGGAATGGTCTTTTGTTACACCGACGAGCGCTTGACGTGCGGTGTGCGCCTTCTGCTTCCTCGAATCCCTTTCAGTATAACCCCTTGACGGCGGCAAGGAATTCCACGTGCCAGATTGGGATGCCTCATTGCTGCAGGGATCGTGCAATCGTGGCTTCTTCATCAGCGGCCTTATTGCGTGGGATACCGCGGTGCGATGGGGAAAATATAAATTCTGCAGGGTGAACTCGCTTCACCAAGGAAAGCAGCATAACCCAAATCCCTTCAGCAACGTAGTCTCGCATGGCCAGTGGGGCAACGCGGAGTGCCTCAATTGCCGAGAGGGAGTCCGTCGGCACCAGGACTCGTGTGGGCAATTGGGATGTTTCCGGACGAGGAATTATGAGATGTCTAAAGCCATTTTCAATGGCAGGTCACTCTGCTCTCTACGAGCATGCGATTCTGCCAGTTGCTGCACGATGTACCTCCACAGGGAGATCATTTGCCTTTGTGGGGCCGTATAATAGTGCAGCGGATCCAGATGCGAGTTCGGCGAGGGGTGAAGAACCGTCTGTCCATAATTCAAAATTATAATGTCCCAGAGAAGAGTAAAGGGAATCAAAAGCCGTGCGCTTAACGTCTTCAGAGACGTCGTTGGCAAAGATTGGCTGATAAAATTCCACTTTATTGCAACCCACAGTGTCGCAGGGAATAATTCGATGTTGGGTAATAGGAGGAGCGTGATTGTGGTTGTGTGGTATCCCAATAGTGCCACATACGCGTTCTAATCCATTAATAACGGCATCTCTCTGAAGCGGGATTGATGTCGCCGCTGTCCCATGCATGGATGGCGGCATACATTCCGAGTAAATAAGGGAAGCGCAAATCCTCGTGATTATGGAAACGTATATAGCGTTCGTGTTGTGTGAGTGCACGAAGCCAGAGTATCTTCCGGAGCGAGAGAAGATTAGCTTCCAAGTAGACAAATGTATCTTCCCTTGTTGCGCTTAGGCCAAGGGATGTTGTACAACTGTCGCGGTACAGTACTTCCATATTATGGAGGTGAGTGGGGGCGAGTCACGGGACAATTGCCTTGCCATTATGAAATAGCACACTATGAACGTACCCAATCAAAAAGGATCGCATGGTGAGATGGGACGCTCCAGCTTGTGCGAACAGCTTCAATTGTTAACGGCGTGGCATGGTCTGTTTTGAAGCGGTGGAAGCGTGCGTAATCAAAATTAAGGAGTTGTTCAATCGTGGTGCCCAGCAAGCGCACTGGGCGTGACCGAATGCGTAGGTTCCCATTGCCAAGACAGAGATCGGCCATTTCCTCTTCAGACCGTGTGTGTGAAGAGATGTGGAATAGAGCAGCTTCGCTCTTACCGACGTTGATTTTGAGGCTGTGCTCGGCAGCCCATGTCGTTATAGGTGACAGGGCGGGTTGCATTGCCGCAGCACATGCATGAATGTCCGCACCCAACGCGGCAAGCGTGAGGTCGTCAGCGTACATGAATGCGGAGGCAGAATAGATGTTCTCCAGGCGGCGCAGCAAATCATCCACACAGTGGAGGAAGAGTTGGGGTCCCGGGACGCTGCCTTGCTGTGCTCCGGCTGAGGCGAGTTGTTTCCGGAAGTGCTGTTCGCGAGTGTATACCCTAATATAGCGGCCCCGCAGGTTGTTGTGCAGCCAGCGTTTGGTTCGAGGGCCAAGGCGCGGGAGTCTGTCAAGCATGCCGAATGATTTCCCATGGTCAACGTTGTCTCAAGCAGTCGAAAAATCAATCAAGACTACGAGCGAGCGATGGCGACGAGGGTGTCGTGTGGAAGCGCTGCCTCCAGGGCGCTCATACTCCACAATGCTAAACTCATTCAATCCGCGGTTAATTTTATCGATAACAATTGTCACCACGTCCGATATAGAACGCGAAGGTGTAAATCCAAATTGACGTGGGTGGTGTGGCAATAACGCTGACAGACGGCGGTGAATCATTCCTTCGGTTAACTTTGGTAAAACAGAGAGTGGCGTGATAGGTCTGTAACTCTCTGGGCGGCATGGATCTTTCCCAGGTTTGGGAATAGGAATAGCGTTTCCCATTTTCCAGGAGCCGGGCAGGTTGCCATTTGCAAAGGAGTTGTTGATCATCGTTCTAATTGTGCCACGTACGACGGGCCCGAGACGGTGCAGGAACTCATTCAACATGTTGTCGTGGCCAGGGGCTGAGCCGAGCGAGAAGTCACGGATGGCCACGTCAATTTCATACGGCGTGAGAGGTCGATCCATTTCCCAGCCACCAGGGGGCAATGGAGTGCGGCAGCAGCAGGAGCAGTATAAGGCGGTATGGCACGTGAAACCGCACAAAATGATGGACGAGCGGGTTTCCCTGCAGCCAAGGCAGGGCGCATACGCGGTCCGAAGATCAGTGCGGAGCACAACCGATTCCAGAGGATGAGGGTGCGGCGCCGCCACGCCGCGGAGATATCGCCAGTTTGGGCTGGATGAGGCTCCAAGTTTTTCCACACGGACTTCCAGAAGCGTAGTGAAGCCACGGCGTAAGGCTTGATTTTATTCCTCCACTTTTTGGATGAATTCGTCTCGAAGCAGGCTGTCTCCGGGCGAGGCAATTTGTGTGCTTTGTGTGCTGCTTCTGCGGCGGACTCGGCTTGTTCCATTTCGTTTGTCCAGATCGTTTTGGGGCTGTCACGGCTGCCGCGCGGGATATGGCGCTCAGCTGCTCGCAAGATACCACTGCGAATATCCAACCATGCGGACGCGGCGGCAAGAAGTGTTTTTCACAACGAGGTGAAAGCAGGCCAATCCGCTTTGCGCATGGCAAAGGTGGCTTTCTCCCGCCGAGGCAGCGTGTTGGCTGGTCGCGGAATGCCATCATCCATCCCCACCGAGTAAGATATTAAGCAGTGGTCCGAATCCATGTAGGGAGTGGATTGCCAGTGGGTGACACGTAGCACGCGATACGCAGTCACGTCAGGGGACGGGAAATTACGATGTGTGATCCGTGTTGCCTGCGCCGGGTCATTTGCCAGCCCAAAATCCATATCGATTAGAACAGCGGCGAAGTTCTCTCCTCCAGTCGTTGAGGGTAGGTGTCTTTCCCAGAGTCCATGATGTAAATTCAGGTCACACGCGATAATCGCTGCGGGGCCTGAGCGACGAATGGCAATAATAAACGAAGAGCTCTTAAAGGTTGCTGTGGGAAGGTTACAGAGATTCACCACGCAGGTGCTGGGACAGCCCTGTGGAAATACACGGACAGCAATGGTCTCCAGGAGGTCTTTGACGGGGAGCGTCAGGCGCTCGCACGGCAGAGAGTGGCGCACCCGAATGGCAACGCCACCACCGCACCCAGTGCGGCCTGAAGAAATTCATTGCAGCCATATAGTTTTGCCGCTGTGGCAATTCGAGTATTTGTTTCCTGGAAAAGAACGATGTCAGGTGGATGCTGCTCCCATCGCACAGCAGATGCAATATTTTTTACGGACGAGAGGCCTGCAATGTTAAGCTGCCAAATATTGATGTAGCCATCCACCTCGGGCCATGGTTCTTGTGGACGTCACCGCAACGGGTGATATCAACGGAGTGACCGCTGCGAAACGGTCGTGCAGTTCTGTCCGACAGTCTGCAGGCACACCGCCTCACCTCCCCGCACCGGGCATGGCGTGGAACCTTCTCGAGGGGTGGAGTCGTCTTCTCCGTCGTGCTCGCAGCAACGCACCGCAGCGGAGTTCCTGTATGCAACCAAAGCCCCAGCACCGCGACAGGGTGTGCACCCCATCGCCGGGGCCAGGAAAAGCCGCAGTGCCTCCTGCTGTCATCCGGAATCTTTGTTGACGCCTTGATGCGAACAAGCGCCCATCGGCTCTTACAAACGACGCCGTACACCCGCGACGCATCTTGCGCTGTGAGAGGCACTATCCTCACTACAACCGGAGTCGCCCACGCGCCGTCGGCAAGCACCACATCGTCAAGAAAAGAGCAGGAATGCGTCAGGGTGACAGCAACGCTTCCGCTGGAGAATCGAATCACAAACATCACCAGCAGCGCTGCAAGCCACGGGTTAAGGTGGAAAAACTGCGCATGGTGTATATCGAAAAAAGAAAATTAGTGGCTTTACAAGAATAATAAAGGATAAAACTCTCCCAAAAACAATATGAGAATAACAATAAAAGATTAAAGTGTCCGCAGTCAACGCATGCCGCCAATCAAAAAAAAGGGAATACGTGCACTCAACCACAACACAATGAAAAACAATGAAAGAAACAAAAAGCCGAAGCGTGGGACGACCAGTGCACACACTCTCATTGCTCCCGTAAAGCAAAACACACACACAGGGAGAGAGAGAGAGAGAGAGGTCGCCCACTCAATGCAATGAAAACAAAACAGAAACAGTTACGGTGCTCCGCCCATGCAGCCAGGCAGGACGGCAGCGGTGCGTGTCGTGCAAAAGAGAGCACCAACGGGCCTGCATGGGTGTGCATGCACATATACAATGGGCACATTATGTGTGTGCTTCGTGGGATGAGGCGAGGGCGAGAGTCCATGCAAGGGGACACACACAGAGTGTGAGAGAAGGACGAGTGTATGTGCGGGCGGTGCACGGCTCTCTCTCCCTCACTCTTACGCGGCCACCACCGCAGCAGCAGCCGCACACGCAAAAAGAAGAAGAAGCAAAAGAGGGGAGGTGGTGTGGGAGACCGCGGTGCTGCTGTCACTTTCGCCTGTCGTCGCCGTATCATTTGGTTGAGCAGTCCCTGCTGTTTGTGGTGCTGCCTCACCCATTTTGACGTTGCTGCCGTCACTGTTGCTGTCTTCTTGCGTCGCCGTATCATCTGTTTTGGCTGTGGTATTTGGTGCTCTTGGGATTCCTGCACTGTGAGTGGCCGCATTCTCCGTGCTGTGTGACGCTTCTTCACTTGTGTCTCTCGCATTGTTCTGTTCGGTGTCATTGTTTGAGGAGTTGTCGCTTATGCTTGTGAGGCTGCTTGCGTCACCAGGACTCTTTGCCTTTTTGATGGCAGCTTCATTGTCCACTGCCGCAGGTGATGCGGTAGTTTTGTGCGCATCGCCAGACGCTGCTGTTGATTTACTTTTCCCAGTGGTGTGGACGGGCTTTTTTTGTTTTTCCGCAGCGTCCTTGTGAGGATCAACAATATGTTTGGATCGGTCTTCTGCTTCCGTCACTCTTGCATGAGCTGGCAGAGTACCGTTGGCCAACTCAGCGGCACTCTCTTGACTGTGGCTGCTGGCAACATTCCGCACGGCCTCTGATTCGAGTGTCGCCGCTTCTTCCTGGAGTCGAATGTTGACTGGATCCGTTTGCTCCTCCTCCACCGGTAATTGGCGTGACACCGGCCGCCGATTTTTTGGTTTTCCCTCAGCCGGTAACGGTGAGTTTATTTCCTCTGAGGATGTCTGATCTGACAAAGGCAGCGGCGGGTTTCGATCATCTTGCTGCCTCCCGCGATCCACATGGCCGCCTCCACTCCCCGGGAAACCATTACTCCCTTGCACTTTAACGCAACCCTCTGACATTTCTCCATCCTCATCGCAGCTATTCTGAAGCGACTCATTTTCTTCTGGAGCGACTTCCTCCACAGCACCATTCCCCGCCCCGCCAATACCAGCTGGAGTCACATCCTTCGCATCAACCAAAGGGACATGGCTGGAAAGGTGTTTAGATTCCTCTCGATCCCTCACACCACCATCAACAGCCACCTGTCCATCAATATCAGAAGGCTTCATACGGCCAATACCACTCAACACGCCCCCCTGATCACCATGCACAGACCCAGGAGGCGGCGAAAGGGTACCGGCCTCTTGTCCTTCATCACACACTCCGCCGGCACCGCACCACAGCACGCAGAGAGCACACACCAGCAGCACACGGCCAGTCATCGTCATCGCCATCATCACTCCTGTCAATTGCGTGTAGCCTTCAGCACAAACTAACTCCCCGTCAACGCAGGGTAAAAGAAAAAAGACAATTCATGCAACCACGCACAATAACAAACGGCAACAGCCCAGAAGCAGCACACACCATGAGGCAGTTGGAATCAGTGCAATTGCAGAACTCGCACACCTGCCTGCAAAACGGAAATATAAAAAGCAGCAAAAAAGAAAAATAGCAGAGTTGAGTGTCCGGCAAGGCTCCCAAAAAGTAAAAAAAATATGAAAAATCGATCAGGCACGACTTTCATTTCATGTGCCATACGGCACAATAAAAAAAACATTTGTTTGTCTGTACATGATTCCCGCACTGAATAAAACAAAAAAAGATCGTCCTGCTCCCTGAGCCCACACAACATTCTTCACACTTCATGCGGCATCCGGCCTGTTCCTCCAATCCTCGTTTCGTGCAGTCCGTGGGACGCACAGCAATGAGGCCAGCACCACGTGTGGGCAAAAAAAAAACAAGACAAGAGGAGTCATGTCACTCATGACGGTGTGCAGCAACCGACCATTAAATAAAAAATGGTGCTTATAATTCCAGGAAAAAAACTAGCAGTAAAAAAGTAATAAAAAATTAACACGCATGCAACGCGGAACATGTTCTCCGTGAGGAGTCGCAATTCCACACTCTTTGGCTCAGAAGACCGCCACAACTCCACACAATCCCAGAAGAAGCAGCAACGCCCAATACACGCGCACACGCACAGTGCCGTCAACAGTTAACTCTCGCAGTGTCAATTTCGCGTCGTAGAGCAGGGCAAAGCAGTCGTCGGGACTCACACCGTTTCCGGAATACTGCGCGGTGAATTCTCGCAATAGGGGTTTTCGTGTCCAGAGGCATTGCGTTGACTCAATCCGCCCGCATCACCCTCAGCAACAAATCCACTGCCTGCAACGCCATTTTCTAAAACGAGAGATTTGTGTCCAGTGGCGTTGTGCTCATTCACCTCGTCCGTGTTATCCGCAGCAACGTGTTCCCTGCCGCCATAAGTGACAGACACGATCCCGGATGCATTCGACGCCACTACTATTTTCGGACCGTTGGCAAAGGAAAGCCTCTTCTTGGATGCATTCGGGACCATCATTTCGCTCGAATTGCTGGCAAACTCTGGCTTCGTCTCGGACGTGTTGGTCGCCGTGTTGGATGCGGGACTCCGATCGACGGTGTTGGGTCCGTCAGCCGCCGCAGACTGTCGCCAATCCTCGAGTTGACGTGACGGCTCAGCATTAACTTGCGGCGCAGTTGTCCCACCAGATTTTGTGTCATCCTTCCCTTCACGGGGTGGCGGCAACTGACAGATGCCCGTCTTGTCAGCATCGCTGCTCCGTGCAGGCGGACGGATGGTTCCATCGGGAAGAATATTGACGCCACCACAATTCATAAGGGACGGCGTATTCATGTGTCGTCACATTCATCGTGAAGGCAACGGTGGCCTCTTCCTCTTTCTTTGCACAGCTGGCAGCACAGTTGCTACATGTGTGCACCGCATTGGCCACACGGCACACAGCACCCAGCTCACCATTCCTGCCATGCATGCGCACACCAAGGCCACTGAAAGTATAATTCTCATGCTGAGCCTCAGCACTGGCAGCAGATCACTTCTTCCACGCACACACACAAACACACACGATACCTCAGGCTGCCGTCACTCGGAGCACACGACACATCCACCGGCACAACCACCGTATCCGCATCACCAGATACATGTCCAGGAATCCCAGCCGCCGTCATGCACACGGACAAGCAGCAGCAACAAGAGAGCGCAAGGACCAACACGGCGCCGCACCGTCATCATCGCAGTCATCGTCACCCGTGGTGGAGTCGCTGGAGTCAGTGAGCCGATCGGTGAGACAAAAAGGAAAAGAATGCAACAAGAGGGAGTGGGACGGAGTGCAGCGGATACGGCGAGAGAGAGAAAGAGCAGACAACACGAGGAGAGGGCAGCAGGCCCAGCCGCACACTTCACACACCACGAGACGGCATCCACGCAAGGAAGGCACACAACGCCAGCAGCCACCCACCATGCAGGAGGAGAAGACATCCACCACCATCTCCCCCAGCTCATCGCCACAGCCCCAGGGAAATGGCAAAAACCCACGGCCACCAGACAACGCACACGCGCAAGCGAACCCTCATCCATCCATGACGCGGCACCAAAATTTCCTGCCATCCCGCCCTCAATGGGACACGGAGCCCAACTCAATGCAGTCACACGCGGTGCACCACACCCGCAGGAAAAGAGACTCGGGGTGCGCGCTCCCTCTCTCCTCCTTCCCTTCATGCCCACGGAGGGAGCAGCAGCCACCCGCAACCGCCAGCACACGCTACAAAAGAAGCCTCCAAATCGAATGAAATGTGCATTTTGTATGTGCCTGCAGACACACGAAGCAAAGAAGTAAAAACAGGGGCAGACCATGTGAAGGGACGCACAAGAAAAACTGTACAGCAGAAGTGCATGGAAGAAATAAAGAGAAAAAGACTGCTCAGGCTCACAATATTGCACTGCAGACAAAGCAGCGGCCATTCATTACAAAATTTAATAAAAATAAATAAATAAAATTTCATCTTCACCTGTCCACACCTCACACTTTGGATAAAAGAAAAAATGAAAATAAAAAAAGGTCGTCCTCTATTACGGCTGCACCCAAATGATAAAAAAGAAAAAAAAACCACACACAAAAAAAGCACCCAACTACCATGTTGCTCCAGAAATTGTCGACATATTTTGTCCGAAAATAAAATTAAAAGATATTTAACTGTCTTTCAACCGTCCGACCTCCATGTGTGTCCGCACATCGTTTATATTTCATGGGGTCATCTGCGTGTTGCTGCTCCCCTCAGCCCTCTCATCGGCGCGTAAGTGCGGCCTGCAGAGCACAGTCACTCGTGTGTGTGTGGACTGAGAGAAGCACGCAGACATGACGGGAGTCGCGTCACTCCATCGGGAGAGTGAGCGCAGCAAAAGAAAAAAAAATCATCAGGAGGGAGAGAAATGCTGACGGGACTGCCAGCGCGAGAAATGCACACACAAAGCAAAAAGTCTTAAAAACACGGCGGCAGGGTGTGGCTGTGTGTGTGTGGCGCTGCGGGTGTCTGCCCGCCCTGGCCGCAAAGAAAACAAAACAAGAGGAAAGAAATGTGTGCTCCGCCCCACAGGCCCTCGTCGCACGCCCACACGTCACGACTTCCTCAGCGCGCCGTTCGTCGCAGCCCCTCCTCATGCGTGCGGCAGGCGAGGCGCACAGGGCCGTCGTCATGAGCGTGTCGGTGGGTGTGCGAGTGGAGCAGTTGGGCGGGAAACACACGGCACCCCTCGCAGGAAGAGTGCAGAAGAAACAATTGAAAAGAGGGAAGAGAGAAAAAAGTTCATAGTGATTGCCCACGAAGCAAAAAAAAAGGATGGGGGATGGGGAAAAAAAACGAATTTGATGAAATGAAAAAAATTAAAGCATTAAAAAAAAATTAAAATACGCACAAAAAAAGTTTTTATAAAATAAATTCGTTCCTATGGGAATAGTATTTCTGTGCTCGGGAGGGCGCAATTGTCCCACGCGGCAGCCAGTCACTCCTCACAGAGGCGCAAACCCCCACAGTCCCAACAGAAGCAGCAATGGCAGCAGTCCGCTCCCACGCACAATGCCGCCATCACCCGTTGCTTCTTCCATATCGGCACTCCCACCAGTAAACGTCAACGGGCGGTTGTAAAGCAGGACGTTCCTCACAGTCACGGACACATCTTCGTCACCCGCTGTGTTCTCTGCGCTGCCTTCATCCCCTCCAATGTAGAAGTGTGAGATCCCTTTCGATTCCGTGTTTTCAAAGTTACTTTGCACACTCTCACACACACGCTGACCATCGACGTACACGGAGCCCTGGGTGCCGTTCTGTAGCACAATGGCCAGTTGGTATTGTCTCTGTGGATCCCAAGTGCTTTTAAGCTTCTTGGTTGTTCCGTCACTGCACAGCGCCTGCCACTCCTTTCCGCTGCCGTACGACAACTCCATAAGTTTCGTTCCTCCGTCACTGCCTGCACGCACACCCATCAAAGGGACGCTGTCACTCTTCGGTGCACCGTGGATGGACACCGTCGCCACAAGAGTGAAGTTGTGGTTCGCAAAGTTGTACAGCTGATTCTCCCCCTGACTGCCAACGGGCCACTCCGCCCACGGTCCCCGGAACTACACTCCATCCGCCTTTGCAATGTTGCCCCTCCATTCGTTCCTTTCTTTACTGTGGCATTCACCCCGAGGTACTCGTCCCTCCATGTGCTACCAGAGAAGTTTTTGGACAAAAAGCCAACCAGCCCATCCGTGATCTTATCAGTAGTGCAGACATTGTCAGTTGAGGGATTCGTCGCAGCAGTTGAAGTAGGGCACAGCTGAGACACGTTCGTCCACTTCCTTCCAGGTCGTCAGCACCTCCCTCACCCGCTTCAGCTGCTCAGTCTGACGCACAGAGACCATACCGAGTGATTGTCTGAACCCATCTTCCTTCTCGTACAGTGCAATCAACTCATTATTATTATTTCCACTTCCATCACTTTTGTACAGCAGGGAGCTGGCGGCAGCGTCGTCATCACCGGATACCGGCCCAATATCAACAATGTGCGTATTGTCCGTCAGCCAAAGATGGAGTTCGCCCTTTTCTTTTCCACGGCCTCCTGTATCAGCCTTCTTGGAAAACACCGGCAGGGTAACGAGCATCACATTCCTCTTATCATTTCCAACACCGTCAATCTTCGCTGTGATTAACCCGCTTCTAACGCCCTTCTCATGTCGCTTTTGGTTGTTGCCCCACACACGCGAGAGTGTCCCGAGTGCCTCCGTCCACGACTCCCCCTTGTCACCGGACTCGTACACCCTGCGGCGGCCATCACCACACGCAGTCATCATCATGAGTATTCCCTTCTCCCGCTCCACGATAGAAGGATCACCGCAACCACCGGCAGACATCCCCTTTGACAGCTTCCAATTTATATTATCCGAGGAGTACAAGATCAGAGAAACGTCGTCATTCTTTCCATCCTTTGCTTCCTCATCCTCCTTCTTCACGGCTTCCAACGGGAACACAAGCGTATCGTCATCCATCTTAATACCCGATCCACCGTCTCCAATGAGCAATGCCCAGGATTCATTAAGTTTTACAATCGAAGTGCACGGGAGACCGTAAGTAGCTTCCCAAACAATTTCTTTGTCCTGTTCTTTACTGACATTCCCCTTTACCAGTAAAAGACCCCATGAGGCCGCGTCAGTCCCACCCTGACAAACAGGGACATTTTCCCTGATGTAAGTTCCAGCAAGCATGTAAATGCCATTTCCCTTCACAACTGTTGTTGGCTGGCTCACATGTACTTTCATTTCGCTTTGGGAACCAGCGCGATTCGTTGACTGAGAGGGGCATTTGCCTCCTTCGGAGGAACATTTCTCCAGTGCCTTTGTCCTCAAATTACTTCCACCCAACATTTTTGGGTTTTCACCACTCAACTCAAGGAGCTCCGAGGCAATCCCAGTAAAGAAATTGCTTCCTCCCTTCTTCAACAGCGCCCCGGCAACGGCAAACACGCCACCATTTACCTCAACAAGACTGGGAGCATAGAGCAAACTCACTGTTTCATCGCCTGTTGTATCTCTCCAAACAAAATGTTTATCCAGTGAAGATCCCAGACCTGACGACGGCTCCGCAGCTTTCACGGCTCTTCCAGTGTCGCACATCATCACGACAAATAGGAGGAGCAGCACCGCGGAAGTAAACACATGCCGGGACATGTTGGGCCTCTGCGGCTCACTCTCTCTTCCTTCCTTCCTCCTTCCGCTGGATCCGGTCACGCGGCGACGGTTGTGTGTGCGGGGTGCCTTCACTGCAGCAACACGTGAGAGCATGTAAATATGTGTGTGTGGGCGGTGTGTGTGCTGTTGGTCCTTTCAGAGCCTTCGAATTTCACAGTAGCGTTTAGCGCTTGTTTGCTTTCTTCGTAAGAGTGTGAGAAAAATAGAGAGACAAAATACCAATACAAAAAGAACAACAGTAACAACCGCCACCTATCCGCAGTGAGTGGCACCATCATCCCCGCCGCAGTCACTCCCAACAACAACAACTCACGCACACAGACACACGGAACGAGACGAAAGAACAGTGCACCGGGAACACACAGCGACTGCCACCACCAGCAGCAGGAGTTACGGCGGGCGCTTCAGCCACGCGTCAGCACGCACCGAGTAACACCCATACCCAGCAAAGCAAACAGCGGAATGCAAAGGAGCACAACCGCCCTTCGCAGCACCCGCGCGCTGCCGCCAGTCCTTTTATTGCTGTCTCCTCCAGCGCACCCGCTCCTCAGCCGCCATAGCCGCACATCATCCTGCACAGGCGAAGAATACCCCGTGGGCGAATTCAAAGCAAGAGACACTTCGGCACGTGCAGCAGCTGGGCGGGAATCAATCCACACTTGCCCAAGGCACCCTCAACACCACTCACTGGCTGCATGCCGCCACCCGCAACACGTCGAAAAAACAAATAGCAGCTTTCTGTCATGCCTCCTCGCAAGGGCCACCGCTGTCAAAACTTGTGCGTGCGTGCATTCTCAGCGTTTTAAACACGGCATGTGTGTGCATGTGCTTGTGTGTTTGGCAGCGCCTATAATTGCAGAGCAGCTGTGCGCCACAAGAGAGTCAGAAGAAAGCAACGGCAGAGAGAGGCAGATAGCACACACGCAAATTACTCATATCATCACACACACACAAACACACACACGCAGCCCGCGGAATGGGTGCTCTCAACCACAAAACAATGAAAAACAAAACAAAAATCCGAAGCGTGGGACGACCAGCGCACACACTCTCATTGCTCCCGTAAAGCAAAACACACACACAGGGAGAGAGAGAGAGAGAGAGGTCGCCCACTCAATGCAATGGAAACAAAACAGAAACAGTTACGGTGCTCCGCCCATGCAGCCAGGCAGGACGGCAGCGGTGCGTGTCGTGCAAAAGAGAGCACCAACGGGCATGCATGGGTGTGCATGCAATATATACAATGGGCACACTATGTGTGTGCTTCGTGGGATGAGGTGAGGGCGAGAGTCCATGCAAGGGGACACACACACACAGAGAGTGAGTGAAGGACGAGTGTTTGTGCGGGCGGTGCACGGCTCTCTCTCCCTCACTCTTACGCGGCCACCACCGCAGCAGCAGCAGCACACGCAACAACAAGAAGAAGAAGCAAAAGAGGGGAGGTGGTGTGGGAGACCGCGGTGCTGCCGTCACTGTCGCCAGGCGTCACCGTATCATTTGCTTTGGCGTCGGCGAGTGCTTTTTCTGTTTGTGTTGCTGCATCACCGGCTGTAGAAGCAAGGTTTGTATAACCAGTTTCGGAGTTCTTGTTTGTTCCTTCGGATTTAAGCACTTGAGCATTGCTATTGTCCGCATCCGCATTTTTCTGGGCATCGGCACTGCTACTTGCGGGGATGGGTGATGCTGTTGTTCCCACTGGACTGTCTTGCTCTGCCAAATCATCCCCTGAAGGCTGTTCCACCGCTTTGGACTCCGTTTCGTTTTCTGACGGCAATTTTTCATTCTTTTCTTCCTTTGAGTTCTGTGCGACGTTTGTTGCTCTACGGCTTCCTTCTCCTGCTGAAAAACTCGGTGCTGTTGATTTTTCTTCTGATGTTGCTGGTGCTGATCGTTCTGGTGATGGTGCTGCCGGTGATTGTGTTAATATTGGCGTTGTTTGTTGTACGGGTGGTTTGCTGGCGGCAGACGACGAACTGGAAGGAATTCCCGTCTCCACAGTATTCTGCACTTTCTCTTTTCCAGTTGTGACCTCCTCTGTGTCTGGACTATCTTCTGTGTCCTGTTCAGTGGAGGACTGCTCTTCTGCTTTTGGTTTTGGCATCGCGGATGCCTGTGATTTGGGCAGTGAGGGTGCTAGAGGCGTCTTTCCTGAATGCACACCTGTTTCTGGGAAATTATTCTTCCGAGGCGATAAAGCACCGTCGGCATTCTGCAAACCACCAGCAGCAGCATTGGGAATGGAAGGCGGAGAGATCACAACAGGAACAGGAACCTCCAAATTCAAATACTCACTTCCAGAACTTTCACTTGGGCCAACAACATCAACACCAGAAGGACTGCCACCACCACTTTCACTGAGACCAGATGCTGCCGGTATTGTTGCTGCCGCCTCTTTCGATGAACTTTCAGATTTTCCGGCTTGTGGCGTATCTTCTCTTTCTTTACTTTTCTCTTTTTCTTCTTCTGGTTATTGAAGACCACCAACATCCGTTTCTACTTCTTCCTCTTCATCCTTCCCAACTCTGTCTGTTGTTTTTCCTGTGCCTGTCCCCTCTTGCAGATTGGAATTGTCCCCATTATTTTTGTTCAAAGAATGCCCCGCGCCGTCAGGCCCTCGTTCGCCAGGCTGCGGTAATCCATTTGGAGCTTTCTCACTGACACCAGATACATGCTGTGAACCAACTAATGATTCATCCTTCATTTCGGCACCGCCTCCGCCCGCACCGCACCACAGCACGCAGAGGGCACACACCAGCAGCACACGGCCAGTCATCATCGCCATCACTCCTGTCACTTGCGTGTAGCCTCCAGCACAAACTAACTCCCCGTCAACGCAGCGTGAAAGCAAAAAGAGGGACAAGTCACACAACCACGTCACAGCAAAGTGACAAATGGGAGCACCCCAGAAGCAGCACACACCACGAGGCAGTTGGAATCAGTGAAAGGGCAAAAACAAAAAAAAAAATACACACAGCCCCGCAATAATTGATCAGCAAGATAAAAATACAAAAAACAATTAAAAGCTAAAAACAGTAAACAAACAGCAATAAAGTAAAAACAAGTAAAAACACTAAAAAAAAGAGCTGCAACGAATGACTCCAGTGTGCATGCACCCACAAATATGCGTCCACGCAAAAAGTTGTCTACTTGTGCGCATGCATATGAGTGTGTCCGGGATTCTTTCAACGTGAAGGATGTAGGGAGCAACGCGGAGCACACAGCAGGGCAGCGGAAGCAAATGAAGCAAAACACAATTATTATTTTCCCTTATTTAGTTACATTGGACCACAGTGGACGCGCACAAGTCCCCGCGGCTGAGTGCTGGCACGCACAGCCCGCACACACCTCTTCAGCCCACAGTGGTGTACGCCAGCGCGGATGCGGCGAGCAGCAGCGGGGCACACACCCACGCAGGGCTGCTGAGGCTGCCGTCAATTTCGCGAAGACGTGACGGTGCGCTGGTTGTCGTCGTGGTTGGCGCCTCTGTAGTCGTAGTACTTGGTGCCTTTGTTGTAGTGGTCGTCGTCGTGGTTGTCGTTGTTGTGGTCGTAGTTGGCGCACTTGTAGTTGTAGTTGTTGTCGTAGTTGGTGCATTTGATTCCTTACGTTGTTCATTTGCCGTAACGGTACCCGTATTTTCTGTCTGTTCATTAGACTCCCCATCATCTTGATTCTGTGTAATATTGGAAGTATTTTGTGACTGTGGCGTTTTGGTTATTGTACCCTTTGTATGTGACGCAAGAGTCTTCATTTTTTGTGAATCTTCCCCCTCCTCTCTTGTCCGTGGCAAAGGAGAAGTTTTAAGAAGTGGATCCTTCACATGACCTGGTCCGTCTGGCTTAGAATCTGTTGGACCGGAATCTTTTCCAGCTTTACCAGATTTATCTTCACTCGTTGTCACGCACACGGACGGGCAGCAGCACAGGGCAAGCACCAACAGGGCGCACAGCAGACGGCAATTCATCATCGTGAGTGTGGTCGTTCAGTGGTGTGGAGCTGATCTGCACAGTGAGGGACATGGAGAGCGACAGGGGAGACAAGAGGTGCGGCAGACACACACACAGAGGGCAAACCACATGAGGAGAGGGCAGCAGCCAGGCATGCACCGTACGCCGCACACCACGCACGACACACACTCCACTCCACGGCAGCAGGCACACACACACACAGCCCTGCCGCAACACCAACACACAGATGGAAGAGGGAGAAGCAAACAGGAGCGGCACACAAGGCTCCACCGCATTTACACACGGCGAGAGCGGTCCGTCGTGACTGCACCCCTCACGGAGGGTACGCACACGCACACGAGAATAGGTGCAGCACACACAGAAACACAACAGCAAAGTAACAATAAGAAAAGAATGATCCCCGCACACCACGTGAATTGTTGGTCCACGGGAAGCGCAGCCAATATTCATCACAAAAACAATTCAGTTGCCTTCGGCCTTTGTTCATATTCAGCGCACATCACTTCATGCAGGCCTGGGAACCACCGCAGCAGCTGCCGCACACAAAAAAAATAAGCACAGGAAATGGTATAAAGCAAGCAACCGTTTATTTGTGTTTCTGTTTTAATTTTGGCAGATGCCTGCATGCGCTTTTTTGTTTTTTTCAGAGGGCAAGCCTTCATGCCTGCATCGTGTGTTGGGGATTTCTGCAGGGTGCGCAAGTATTTCTTTCCTCTTGTGAATTTTTCTTGTGTTGGTGCAGCCAAGAATTCTGTTTGTGTTGTTCCTGCCTTTCGCTGGCAAAGTGTTGCAATAGGTGTTTGTTTTTCCTTTCGTTGCTGTGGCACCTGATTCCTCACCGTTTATTGCGGTGGAAATGAAAATATTTGAGTGGGCTCCCACACACCAGAACGCACCTTCGCTCTTATTTATTGGTGCATGGAAGGGCATGTGTGTTTGGTGGTGTCTCGTCCATATATTTTGTGGGTGCACATTCCCCTGCAGGCTGAGGGCGGGGTGACGCTCTGTCGCGGTGCACTTCCCTCGCATGCCGCCCACTGTGGTTCATCATGCATCACCCTCTCACATACTCCGTGGTGCCACACCGCTTATATTATTGCAGCCGCTGTGATTCCGCGTATTTCACGCACTTGATTGTGCCACAATACATCCGCTCGTGTGGCCGCCGCATCCAAACAGCGGTGCCCAACACCGTGAGCGGCAGTCCACATCCTTGCATGCCCCAACGCAGTGGTGTTTGACTGTCAGCCAGGCGCCAGACAACAAGAGAGTCTTGTGCTGGCAGTAGAACACACGGAGCTGCAGTGAATGACTCGGGCGGAGACGCATCTATTCGTCGCAAAGCAGTGAAAAGGAGTCGGGGAAAATAATGCCGGCTGCATTCACGACACCACATCCACAGCCAAAGCATGCGACGTGATGCGTGTTTCACTGGTGCTGTGAAATGCCTGCAGACGACGTCACTAGTGGAGGCGCACCACCCATGATCAGCGGACAGATAATAATCGGCATGGGAGGCCACAAAAGGCAGCAACGACGCCAGCAGCAGGAGCAGCTCTCTCTCTCTCTCTCTGTTGCCTCCGAGAAGTAAATATTCCACCAGCCACAGCTGACTGTGCCATCGTGACACTCCATGCACGTCGTGGCTGCGTCAACACATCCTGTTCCCTGCAGCGCCTCAAAAGATGCCTCACTCCGTCCACTAAGTGCATCGATGCGGGCCGTGCCTGGGCTGTTCGTGAGGACCACAACGATGTGAGGGTCACCGAGTCGCAGCATGTTTGTTGTGACGCTGTTGCATGGCACCTGCACACACACACACACGCAGCGCCTGCACCCCTCCCTTTTGTTTCCGCCCTCTGCCGGAGTGGCCACACACACGGGCAGCAGCAAAATCATTTCACCCTCGACAATCCAAAATCAACACCGACATCCCTCGCGACGCAAACATCTCAGTTGCCAGCACGGGCTTCCTGTCGCTCTGCCATCGACGCTGAAACACGGCACAGTGCACGCACTTATTTTCCTCGTGTGCAGTCAGCCGTTTGCTTCACACATTCTTCGATGGGCTGACGTCCATAAAAGCACGCCACAAAAGCCACTGTGATCGCACACGCTCTTGCGATGAGCGTCGGTGTGTGCATGGATCCGCTGCTCACACGTGCTGGCAGGCAGCCTGCAGCCGGTGCCCTCGTGCCTGTTCATCGGCTCCAGAATGGGAAAGGGAAAATGGCCTATTCCCGATGCACTTATTCCCACCAGCAGCACCAACACGCTGGTCGCCAGCCGTCATTCCTCAGCACATCCAGGAATGCCGAAAAGTGACGTGGAACTGTCAGCCAGCAATGCCACAATCCCCGCACACATGTCGGCTCCACCAGAGAAGACACACAAACTACAAACAACAACCTCCACATGTCATCCGAACATCATTCCGACACACCGCGACACGCCAAACAGAAGTATTCGTCACTCCATGCACCTCCTCACACAATCACATAGTCCATGCACCACGCACGGCAGCAGCTCACACGTGGTCAAACAAATGTTCTTCGAATCAGTCTTGCCCACGTCCTGCAGTGGGAAGTAAACAAAAGAGACGGGCTGCCAAACCACAAAAGAGTGCCACGACTGGCCGCAAGTCAAAGAAACGCAGCCACCCAAATGAATTCAGTCCTAATGCCCTCAACCTCCCACCTTCCCCCACAAAAGCTGCAAAAGATTGAAAACAAAAATAACGTCCAATAAACTCTTTGCGCAAAACAAAAGAAGCCGCATCGCCTTATGCTGTCATCCGGGGTCGTTGTCGTATTCACGAGAAGGGGCGCTAACCTTTTTTTCAAACGACGCCGCACACCCGCGACGCATCGTGAGGCGGTGCCCGCGCACCTTCACCACGCAGCGCGATGAAAATGAAAGAAACATTCTTGAACCAGACCGCTAAGCAGACCGCGCCACGCCGCCGTCAGCCGCGGCTGGGCGCAGAGGCTGGGCGTCCCGGCACACCATGCGATCCTTTCTTGTCGGGTGCGTCCACAGTGCGTCACACCACGGCGGCAAGGCAACCGCTCCGTGTCCGGCCCCCACTCACCTCCACAGCCTGGAAGCGCGGCACGGCGACACCTGCACAGCATCGCTCGTCCCACGCGTTTCAAAGAAGGATACTTCTGTCCACCCGGAAGCCAATCCAGCACCGCTGCGGAGGATCATTGAGTTCCGCGCACCCGGACAGCACGAACGGCTCACACGTCTCCGTTATATTGAGGACGTGCGTGGCGTAGCCCACATGGAAACCACGCCGCCGCCGACGCACGGGAAGGCAGCGACGAGTATTCTGCTGCCGGGAGATGCCGTCCTCAAGGAACTTCGACGCTTCGGCAGCCACATGAGGATCTTCCCGCGCCACATCCGCGCCCCTCATGCTGAGCAGTGGATTTTCGTCTGGGGCACTGTGAGCTGCGACGGGGTGGGCGTCTTCCAGCCACGGCACGCCCAAGACAGCTAGGACGACGACGCCAGACGATAGGCCCTTGAAGCGGCCTGCGCCTCTCTGGGACTGTATGACGCAGGCCGCTGGACGGACGGCTCGTCGTCTCTCGCTGAGCATGCGTCTGGATTCGCTGCACTGCCATTCGACTCCCCGGGCAGCGGAGCTCCCTGTGGGGCCTCACCGCACAGCTGCCGGCAGCCTTGCATGCACCTGCCGAGCGGAGTGTCCTGCCACTGAGCATGGCCTCAGACACTTCCCAGTTCCCCGCCTGGCAGCGGCATCCCAATCGCCCACACGAGTTTCTGTTGCCACAGACTGCCTCTCGGCGATGGAATCACTCCGCCTTGGCCCGCTGGCGGTGCACGACGACGTCACCGAGGAGATTTGAACCGTGCCGCTTTTACTGGCGGATCGAGGTCGCACAGTTGGCTCCGCATTTTCCCCATGACACTGCGGAATCCCACGCAACGTGACAGCGGACACTGACGCCGTCATGGCACGATCCCTCCCGCAGGACTGCGCCAATGCGTGGCAAGTGGGCTACCTCACCGCAGTCAGGCGACCGTAGTGGAAGGATTTCCAGGAGGAAAAGGAAGCCGCGCACACCGCACGACCGGCGCTTGTCAGCGTGGCGAGGACTCTATTCCCGGCGTCCGCCCGGACATTTTGCCCCGAGCCGCAGCACCGCGCACAGGCGCGACGGGACTCCTGCCCACTCTTCGAAAGGCCTGCGCGCGTCCTGCGGGTTACAATTGGCCCTTTGTGTGTCGGTGGCGCCGTTCCTCCCTCACTGCGGTGGCCGGCCCGCCACTGCCTCCGCCGGAACCTCTTCCAGACGTGAGCGCCGCAACTTCTTGTCGACCAGAGAGCGGCGGATTGACGTCCTCCTGCGCAACCTGCGGCAGAGCGCGCTCGTCCGTCCACAATATGACGGCACATGCCCGACGAATCTGCCCTGGCGCTCCAATCTTTGAAAGCCTCAAATTCGCTTTTTGCCACAGGTCTGCGGTCTTCAAAAGCAAGCGCTTCGCGCGTAGTTTGCTACAGAAAATGCCAACAGCATCAACAGGCCAAACACGGACAAAGCAACTCCGCAAGCTCCAGCGACAACCGTAATTCTTCAGCCACCCATCTGCTGCAAACACCACTGGCCGCTGAGCGCCCCAGACGGTCCACGGAAGACTCTGCCACACATGCTGTGGGAATACCCCCGTCTTTGAGAGCTGGGCGTTGGATTATTTGGGGATACCCCCTCACACGACAGCGCCGCTCAAGAAGGAAAAACGGCAACGGCCCACGCACTGCCATCGGAATCTTGACAAACAATAGACGCAACATATAGCAAAAACATTTACCTGGAACGCTGTCCGGACCTTGCGGTTGTCAACAGGAGCCGCACAAGACGGGAATGAAAAGGGGCGAACGGCGCGGGGGCGGGGTTCGCCAAATCCTCGATGAGCATTTACACCAGATGAGTGCGTATTTATGTGTGCGCATTGTGGTGGCGAC